CGCACAGGCCCCCAGTGACACGCACAGCCAGGTGACACGCACAGCCCCCCGGGTGACACGCACAGCCAGGTGACACGCACAGCCCCCAGTGAAGAACAACCCAGGTGTGAAGAAACGGCTTCAGCCCTCGGTCGGTGTTCAGCAAGGTGTAGGTTTTGGGACGTTCACTCCCTGCCACTCTCTCTGTGCCGTAAAGTTTCACTGGGAGATGTGGAGACCCTACTCATGGTAGTAGGTTCCTCGTTTTTCTATGTTTTATTCCAGTCACAGAGTTCGTGGGGGCATCTCATGCAGGTGATTCTCGTGTGATCAGCATTTCAGCATAATGGAGGGAAGCTGGCTGAAAAGCCAGTCCTCCCTCTGCTCCCGACATCTGATCCCATCCTGCTTGATTGTAGTTCTGCTTTTAGTGGCTGTCAAAGAAAAGTGCTTGACTTGGTTACCAACAGAAGTTCTTCAGTAATTTTCAGGGGGAAGGCAGCCCTGAGGTGTCATGGCTTGAACACTTCACTTAACAGATAGTTCCTAGCATCTGACTGTGTGGATGGGCATCACAGGGGCAAACTAAATTTGCTCTCATTTCCTTGATTTTTTATATTATTTTTTTTTTAGGAATACCCAAGTATTTGTAGTGATTTACAGTCACATGCACTGTCCTAGTTATGGGGTTGGAAATACACTATTCTCCCTCTATTGAACAGAAGTATTTTTAATCTTTATTGGAACAAAACAGTCTGTTTGTCTTTCCCTGAAAACCTCTAGTATGGGTTTTTGTTTGGTTGTTGGTTTGTTTTCCAAAGCGAGTGCTGGCCAGCTAGCAAGATGGCTTCAGGCCATCACTATTCCTAGTGACAAACAGAAAACCTCCTAACTTATTGTTGTGAAGAATCTTTGTCTGAAACATGTGAGAGGCAGGAAAGTCTCTTTACCTTTCCTGAAATTCTAATTTCCTGCTGTAAAGGCACATATTGTTCTCTTCGTAGTAGTGTGTTTTTAATTAAAAGATGTTGTTGTGTTTCAGGATGACTCACTGGTAGTGTGGAAGGAGGTGGACCTGACCCGGCTGTCGGAAAAGGAGCGTCGTGATGCTTTGAATGAAATTGTTATCCTTGCCCTATTGCAGCATGAGAACATCATTGCCTACTACAATCACTTCATGGATAACACCACGCTGCTGATCGAGCTGGAGTACTGTAATGGTGAGACCCCTACTCCCGCTGACAAACAGGCGGCTGCTGTGTTCCTGGGTCAGCCTCCTGCAGAACCTGCAGGGAGAATTTCTGGGGTGCAGTGGAGAGGAACAGTGCTGGGTAGCTCCTGAAGAAGAGAATGAGGGCCCTTTTGAGTGATTTATGTCTCAGGTGCCAAAGAAGAAGCCCAGTAGTTAGTGGAGGCAGTTCGGGAACTACATGATTTCTTGAGTCTTCCGAGTAGATGGTGCAGGGAAAGGAGTGTGTTATTGGTAATGTACCCTCCAAATGTGCCTTTTATGTTATTTTAGGAGGATGGTGGGAAAAGACCATGAGAATATTCAGGCCTCTCTGCCAGTACAGAGTGGAGCTGTTTTTCAGTAGTGTTACTTAAGTAGATCCTATCCTTTGGCAATGATAAATGGAAGGTTAAAAATCTACTGATATGTTACAATCAGAACTTTTTTCTGCCTTGTACTGTCAGGTTCTGTGTTTACTATTATTTTCCTTCTGATGGTGGAGAAAACTTTAAAATTCCATCAAAGAGTAGATCAGGTGGTATTGTTGGGATTTTGCCGGGGAAACAATCCCAGCTGGGATGGAGTGGTAGAAAGATTTGATAAGGGGGTCTGCATTGCAGCTGCTCTCAGGCATCTGGAAGAAGAGGTCCTATGCAGCCAATACTGCTGGAAAGGGATACCTGACTAGACCTGCAGTGCAATTCCTGTTTGGATGAGTGGGACAGCTCCCCTGGCTAGGTGTGTCGTGTGTGTCTTTTGGGGCTTAATTTAAGCTTTGGCTTATCGGCAAACTTCTTGTGGTGGAAAAGGCCTTCATCATGTGCTTAGCATTTTAGACAGATTATCTTCACTGGGACAGGTTGGGGAGGACAACAGAGTTGTGCAAGTATTTTTGAAGGGTGTCAAACGCTGGTTGGCAGGTTGGCCAAAGCTGGTTTTGCTTCTCTGCTTCTTGTAGTAATGCAAAGTGGAGACAAGTGTAAGAGTAGGAGAATGTTAGCTCTTTGATTACTTTGTGTGAGTTTCTTTAGCTGCCCTGAAAAGACTGCATAATTTTAGCCATTATAAATTCTTTTGAGGTTATAGAAGAAAATTCATAGTACTGATGTCTGAACATGTTTATTAATGTCTCTAAACTCTTTATTTTACTTTGGAACAATAACAGTATATAGCCTGCATTGTCTGAATATGTCCGAGTGGTACGGAACTAGGCAACATTAGAAAGAGGGAATCTCATTTAGACTTATGGATATTGGTTTTGCCAGTGTGTTAATAGGTGATTTTATGGCTTTTTTTACAGTGCAGAAGTCCAAGATGATTTGTGAGTAATTTTTAAAGTGAGGCTGGACTAGTTGCTCTCAGGCACTCCTCAGAACCCAGGGGTTTTACAGCTTAATTGGCATGTCTCTTCTGGAGATCTAGGAAAGACTTTCAAAATTGAGTAAATACTGTCCCTGTTTTACAGGGGAGGAAGCCAAGTTACTGATTTTTTTGTCTGTAGTTCTGTATGTATATCATTGTACCATAAGACCTGAATTTACCATCAGTGAATATATCTGAAACAGATTTGACAAAAAATATCTCATAAAATACATTTGTTGAAGAGAGAATAGAGTGGCAAAGGCTAGATGTGATTATATGAAACAAAGCAGAAAGTACTTTGTTTCTCTTTTTAGTATGTGTGCATAGAGGTCTTGGTTATTTGAGTCAAGAGCTAGTTGGTCTCCTGGTGTAGGATTTTGTCGATGTTGTACATGTCATGCTGCTCTTTGCTTCAGAAAAAATGCAAAAGAGGTAGCAAAAAATCAGAGATGGGGAACAGAATTCACCAAAAGTGCATAGTCTGAATTGCTAGGAAGGAGGTTAATAAGAAGAGGCAGAAGTGAGTACTTTGGTTAAATTGTGAATGTGAAGAGTGATTTGCAGATCATTTTCAAATGTGAATGAAAGGCAGAAAAATGAAACATTGAGAGAGTATAGCAAGGCTGAATGAGAAGAAATTTAACAAAGGGAATCTTAATTAGGATATCAGAAAAATCTTCCTAACTTGGAAGCCTGAAATAAGTCCCTCAAGGAGGCAGAGGAGCCATTGTGACCTGCTTTGGAAATTTATGACTTGACAGGCGCCTGGAAATCATGCAGCAGAAAGCTCTCTTGCACCATTCCCGTGGGAATGGGAAAGGGCCTGGTGGTCTGTTGCTGTTAGAACATAATATATGATAATTGGGAAATGGAATAGCAACAGGATGTGATCAGAGATTTGGGATTTACTGGCAGGATGTTAATCTGACAGGGAGTCTCACTGCCTGCAGCCCTCAGCATCATTTCTTTCAGTTCTTCTTGAGTTTCAGTCTGCTGTCTTGAAACTGTGAGGTGCCCTGTAGAGTCTGCTGATTTCAGGCTTCTGTTGGTTGTGCTGCTGTTGTCGGTGCTTTGTGAATTCTGCATTAGCAGGGCAGATGAAGGAGAGAGGCAGGTCAGAGCTGGGCAGTCAATAGAGAGAGGCAGTAACTTGTGCTTTCAGGGACAACTATGAACTTACTATTGCTTTCTTTCTCAAATTTATTTTTTTTATTCATAGATAATGCTGAGCAGAACAATCTCATGTGATTTAGTGTACAGGTTATAAATGTTACTATATTCCAAGAAACACAGGCAAAGAAGTAATACTTTTATATATATATATATTTTATATATACTATATATTTATATAGTATATATCATATTTATATACTTTTATATAGTCTATATACCATATATTAATATATTTACTATCTTTTAATACTTTTGAGTATTAAATGGTGGCATTAAAAAAAATCACCTCTGTTTAAGCTTAGATGTGCCAGTGAAGGTCGTAGATGGAAGAAGAATTAATTTTTTGAGTGCCTGACCAGTTTAACTGAAGAGTGCTGAGGGACAGCTGTAGTGGTTCATCAGATCTCCTAGGGGATTTGTGCATTCCCAGCAGAGCAACTGCTGCCATTAACTAAGAGTAATCTCTGTCTTGTTAACTTACAATTACAGGAGGGAACCTCTACGATAAGATTCTGCGACAGAAAGACAAGTTATTTGAAGAAGAGGTAATCTGGACTGCTTTGAGGGAGCAGTGGGGCTGGCCTAATGTTCTGCAGATGTCTGGTTATTTATATAACATTTTTTCCATGTTGCTGGTGGGAGATTTCTCTGTATATCTGGGGACTGATATTCTCCCTCTCCTTTTGAACATTGCAAGCATTTATGGACTATCAGAAACTTCTTATTTTCCTTTTTGGCTGGCTATAAGCAATATAAACTTCTAAGGGAGGAATAATGAAAGAAAGCGCTCAACTGACTGTGGTCACCTTATCATGTTGGCTAACATTTAACTTTAAAACCTCTTTCTAAGTTTCTTCCTGGTTGGTACTGAATTTCTCTCCTGTCTTAACCCTTTTGTAGGTCCTTTTCTGAGTAAATACCTTGAGTCTGTCTCACCATAGATTTTTTTTTTCTTGTTTCTTTTTCTTTTCTTTCTCTTTTCAAAAAACTTGTTTTCTGCTGTCTGTTTCTACCTCACGCTGAGATGATTAATGATTACACTTGCTTGTATTATATAATGACTTTTAAGCTCTTCTGACTTATGGTTGATACTAAATGGTCACTGTTCATATTTCAGAGAATCCAATTGTAGATCTTTCCCAGGTGGTCATTACCTGTCATTCCTAAGTCTTCTCACTCACTGAATTCTGTGATGCTTGTCAGGACAGACACTATGAACAGCAATAGAACAATCCGGGTTCTGGAATATCTTTTCATAGATTTCCAAAGCAAGAATTTCTAAATTTTCATTCTCCTGAAAGAGCATCTGAATGGTACCATCAGGCCCTCTTGCTGTGCCTCAGCGTGATAGGGAGGTTTTGGGAGGGCTTTTTTGAGACTCACATAAGGCTTTTATTCCTACCTTTGCAGATGGTGGTTTGGTATCTCTTTCAAATTGCATCAGCTGTGAGCTGCATTCATCGAGCAGGAATTCTTCACAGGTAAGTGTGGCATGTGGTGAAGCTGAGGTAACCAGTGTGGCTCATGGATGTGAGTGCCGAACTCCTTTGAGAAGCCCGTGCTTCTGTGTTTAAAGCAAGCACTGAGCTTCTCTCCAAAGTGTAGCTGGACTGTCTTAGATGTTAAGTATCACTTCTGTAAAGAACTTTTATTGGGCTAGAAACCATCTTATGATAACTGTGCAAGAATTTTTTAATGTGAAAATGGAATTGTTTTCTTTGATGCTGCAGCTTTGTGAACAAAGAGTTAAGCCATGTAGGAAGGAAGTAAATTGGCTTTTTTGGCCGTACCACATAAATGGTGTTTGCTAACGTGGATAGGAAGAGCAGTTACCACAGGCCAAAGGTACTTCCTACCTGCTCTGCAATTAATAGCTTCAAATCAACATGATCATCCATCCACCTGTTATTCCTGGAGGCTAACAGTGCTGGAGACTTTACATTAGTGCATTGCTCTAATATAACCCCTGCAAAGATTTGTTCTGCATTTGGCTCAATCTCATTTCTTCGGCCTGTTATTTAAGGAAGTAATACAGCTTGTTAGCTGGTAGTGGTAATTTTGACACTGGCTCTCAGATTTTAATGAGTAGCAACTTACCTTCTTCTGTTGCCCTTTTCTGTTTGGGAGGGGTAAATTTAATGGCTTATGTCTGCTTCAGGGAGGCTGGGATATTCTGGGGAGTACTGCACACCTGTACAGCTGGTTCCAGCATGGTTGGATCCTGTGCTGCACAACGTCCTTATCTAATTAATGAGCATAGCTGTGTGAGGATGTTTTCTGTGGGATAGCATCCTGGTTGCTGCCATTCTGAATCTTTGGTAGTTGGCAAGCCTTGCTAATGAAGGGTTGGTACCCTGCACTCAACAAAGTAGTGCCTAAGGGTTTCACCTAAAGCAGATGTCATGTCTGTCCTGCTTTGCAGTGGTTTCCTGCTTGCCACCTCTGTTGCCCATCTTCACAGCAGAGTTCACAGTCTAGGAACATGTGTGGCCCCAGATCCTTCCATAATAATTAATTGAACAGTTATTTAACTGTTTGCAGTGATTTCCTTCTGCTGCAGACATTGTCAGAATGACCCAGGACTTTGCGATGCCCCAAGTGGATGAATGCAAAGTGCTGCTTTACTTGCTGTTGTCCTGATCTACACTGGGAAGTTGTTGATGGTACGTTAGGAAAAGGGGGTGTTGTGAAGTGTTGGCCGTGGGAAGCATATCATACTGCAGGGGCTTCCTCTCTGTATTTACAGCCTTTTCTATTGGTTTGTGAAACTAGATATTAATTATTCTGTCTGGGAGAGAGTGTTTTAAATGACTTTTGGAATTCAGCATTTTGGTGGCCATCAGCCTTTGATCTTGTGGGCATAGTATGTCATGTTATAAAGAGTTGTTGTTGAGGCATAAGTTAGCAGGATATTAATGCTTAAGTTCTATTAGTGGCGTGTGTTTCACACCCTCTTTGTGTGTGTTTGTATTTGCATATATACATATTCATACATACATTTGCATTTTTAGTGAGCTCAGCAACTCCTGCTTGGGTCTATTTATAAAACCAGGAAAAATAAGATCTGCTCAATGACCTTCATGTGAGAAGAGACTGAGAGGGGGAAAAGAACTATCTTTGATCTGTAGCCTTTTACATAGATGTCTGGAGTCTGAGCTTTTTAGGTTGTGTTGTGTTTGTGTGGGGATGTGGTAGAACATGAATAACTGCAGTTAGAGGTCCTGGAGCAGGTCAAATTGCCTTTGGAGAGCTTTGTGTGTGTGAGAGTGAGTGCTGGCAGAGTAGCAAGTACCTCATTTTGGGGGAGAGGTATAGTAGTGTGTGTAAAACTCTGAAATCTGGAAATGTGTTTGAGTGTCTGCATTTCTTTTTCTCCTTTCAGAGACATAAAGACATTAAATATCTTTCTAACCAAGGCAAACCTGATTAAATTGGGAGACTATGGGTTGGCAAAGAAGCTGAACTCTGAATACTCTATGGCTGAGACTGTGAGTATCTGCCTTTTCTGTGTGCAAATGGAGTTGTTTTTCTTTCATCTCTGCATGCCTTGCAGAAGACCAGGGATGTTGTACGTTCTTGGTGCTGCTTTTCTGGTTTTTTCCTTTCCCTCTCCCCTTGATTTCCCTCAATTATGTTTCGCTAATGTTAGCTGGTGTGTTGTAGCCTACAATTATTTTTGCTCCCAGGTTACCTTTTGGAGGTCTGTCTCTCTGCAAAGCAGCAGTAGACTAAAGATAAGTGCCACTATGGGTGTGGAATTGTGCCAGAGCCAGTATAGCTGTGCTAGAGTGCGCTGCTCTTCTTTCCCTGGTATCTAGGCATAGTGCTTCCAAAGGTGAACCCATGTAACATGAAGGTGGTGCTGTCTGAAGATACAGAGACAGCAGTGTAGTCACATCAGTACAGCTCTCTCCTTCTGGGTTAGTTAAGCCTAGCTTAGCAAGTTACATTAATTTGATCATGCTGCTGTGCTAACAGGGGCATTTTGCCTTGCCAGGATCTAAGATAGCTTGTATGTGCTTGCCTAACATTGCACCACACCACAGATATGTCTCCTTTCTCTTTCATGCTCGGGCTCTAAATTGAGTGACAAAGAAGCAAGAAGAGAACTTGTGCTTCTTTTGGTAGCCAGGTGTATGTTTTACTGGTCATGTCTTGGAGGGGGACAAAGCTTTGAAGGAGAGATTAGTTCTACCAGAAGCCTGTCAGGCTTGGCTATGTTCCAGAATCTTCCAAAAAGCAGTTTCACAGCCATATTTAATGACCCAGGGTAAGCTGTATTGCAGACACTTGAAAGGCTCAGCTTTGATTTCCTAGCTCCATTAATTTTTGTGGTGAGCACTAGGCTTGGAAAGGGAGACATTGTCTGGAGCTCCTATCTGCTAAAGGCCTTTGTTCTAGCTTGGAATGCAAGCCAGCTTGCACTTCCCCTTACCAGGCCATATTATATTATTAGATTTAATGCAACTGTTGGTGTTCTATTAGAATGTGTAAAGTACTTGCCAACCTCCTTCCAGAACATGGAGCACTGTTGTGCAGTTACATGGTAAGTGGGAACAGAAAGTTACTGTATAAAACCCTCCCTAAACTGGGCAGTAGCAAAATCACTTTTGTCACATTTTTCACGGCCTTCCGGCTTTCAGAGAAAGTGCAGTCTGTGCTATGAATTTTCAGATGTGTTTTTACCCGTGTTTTGTATGTTCACCCTGCAAACTTTTTTTTTCCTTTTTCACTTCTGAAAAATGTTTTAACTTCAACTGTATTTCATTCTTCATATGCTGGCTGTGCTCTGGGCTTGTTGCTCAGTTTGTGATCTAATGACCAATGGCAGTCTGGAAGTCATTTGTAAAATGAGTGCAAAACATGATATTGTCAGCATTTGTAATCGTAACAGTCACATGATTTTGTAAAATGCTTAAGACTTGTTTACTAAATACTGATTTCTTAATTTATTTTTCTTTTTCCTGTTTACCAAGGAAGACCTAGCAAATAAGTCTGTGTTTTACAGAAAGCTTACATTATACTTTGCTTAAAAAAAGGTTTAGGTGCAGTGTCCTAATTCTTCATATGAGACTCCAACTAGGTGGGCTTGGAGACCTTCCAGTGTCTGGGACTCGGGTAGCTCTGTAGCTGTCATGCTCTGTGACAAGAAATGGGAGGGAGAGGGCAAATTCTGCATGTGCCCATTAGATACCTAGTGTCTTAGCAGAGCCTGATGAAAGCCAAGCTTTGTAGTCCTTGGAGCTTTGCTGAAAGCACTGAAAAGAGGGCAACTATAAATATTTCCCCTTTGAAATGATGTCTTTTTCATTTTCTTTCACTGTCTTGTTCCTTGCTAGGGAATGAGCTCCCATTGATCTGACAGCTTCATTCTTACACCTTTTACCATGTCTGTTCTGTGTCGTCTTCTTGTGACTCTGAGCTATGCCGTTATTTCTGTTGTGATTCTGTATTTAAATGCTGGGGTCTGGGATTTTGTGTGTGGTGGGAGATGCTTGTTTTAAACTAATTGTTAAGAAACCCCTCCTCTGAAGTGAAAGCCTCACAGGAGGGACTCATGCCAAGTTTCTCCTTGGTGACCCAAAAGTAACCCTATTTTGTTGGAGACAAAGTAGCCTTTGTCCTGGCAGTACAGACAGAGTGGCTCTGTGTTGGAAGCTTTGTTAAATTCCTTTTCCCTCAACCTTTTATGAGGGTTTCCATGTGTCTGGTCAGTACATAAGCCCATGATTACCTCTAAATGTAGCACATTTAAAAGAGAGGAAAGTTCCTGCTGTGTTCTCATGACTACTGCTCTATTGAGAAGTATGTCCCACATCAGGATCTGAGCAGAGGTGTCTAGGATCTTATAAGAAATACAGGCACAGGCTTGTGGACAAGAAGGGAAGAAACCTGCTTGTTGTTCCCATCCCTCCAGCATGGTGGTGGGGCGTGTCATCTGTGTCACTTCAGTGCTGTGTCAGAGCTGTGTCTAGCCCTGGTGCTCATGGGCCTGTGTGAACATAATAGATGCAGAGCTCCTGAATTGAAGGCTACTGGATCATTTCTGATTTTTAAATGTTATTTCCCTAGCTGGTGGGAACTCCATATTACATGTCCCCAGAACTCTGCCAGGGTGTGAAATACAACTTCAAATCAGATATTTGGGCTGTGGGATGCGTCATCTTTGAGCTGCTTACTCTGAAGAGGACCTTTGATGCTACTGTAAGTCTGACAACCAGGATGGACTGAGTAACCCTATTTTTTATCACCCTGAGATTGGCTCATAGCTTTTGTAAACCTTTTTCTGTCGTTGTTGTTTAAATCTGCTGATAAAGAAAACAGTGGCCTGGGAGTGCCAATTATGGCCAGAGAAGATTATTTTTCCTGCATGATTCCTCCTGCACTGCACTGCAGGTGCCTTTCTGTCTTCTGCCACCCTTGTCTGTAACCTCGTGTTTACCAGAGGCATAATGCAAGCTGTACTAATTTGTGTCATGGTTGTGAATGAACCATCCTTTTCTCTACCAGGAAGAAGTTTGTGATTGTGTAGTCCTTTTTGCCTTTTTCTGTGTTACTAGCTGTGAATTTTTGTGCAGTATTCTGTAGCAAAAACTTCCAGCCTTTGGATTTAATAGGTTTTAATCCTGTTACTCTTTCTCAAAGCTTGGGTGTAAGAGGAGTGTGACCAGGCTGGCATCAAGAGGGTGAAAGGCAGCAATGCTGCTTGACATACGTGATTTGCCAGTTTGTGCCGTGAGATGGGAAAAGCTGCTAGCTGCCATGGCACAAGATTTTGTAACTCTTAAAGAACTAATGTGAAAATTCTATTCTCTTCTGACTTCCTCTCACCATGGCTACCAAGTCCCCAGTAATTTTGCTGCTGTGTGGTGTTTCAGTGACAATACTGTAAGCAGGAGATGGCGAGCAGAAAAATCTATCCTCCCTCCACTACTAGGGAGTTTGGTGAAAAGCCAGATGTTGCCACCAACTTCTAGCTGTCTGAGGCACAGTTTCTGGAGGATTCTGCATTGGATACGTTGTCTAGGTCAGTTCCCTTACAGCTGGTTTCTGGTTTCTGCCTAGAATCCTCTGAACCTTTGTGTGAAGATTGTACAGGGAAACCGTGCCATGGAGGTTGACTCTACTGTCTACTCCCGGGAGTTGATCCAGATGGTGAATTCCTGCCTTGATCAGGTTGACAAAATACTTTTTTAATTTTCAGACACCCCTTCCCAGCTGCCTAAGCCATGAAATTCAGGGGTGAAGGGGAATGACGTGCCTGTTTCAGCATGAGGACTGTTGATGCAGGGTAATTTCTGTGAGGCCTGAGGCATCACTGAGGCTGGACTTCCTTCAGTTCTCCAAAAGCATTGCCTCAAGATGCCATTCAGTCCTGCAGGCTCTGGAGGGGTGCTGGGTTTACTCTGGCAACACTTGTTTAATGGATTGGCAGAAGCAATACTTTCCTGATGCAGTGCTGCTGAGGTGGGAGCATTGCCACAGTACAGCCTCTTAAGGTTCTGGCTTTCTCACCATGATTCTGGCTTTCTGCAGAGAATTAATTTATTGAAAGCAAAGATAGTATTGATACCTTCAGAGCCTGGAAGCCATTCCTGCCACATCCCTGACATTTATCTATTCATTCCAAATATTTTAATTAATTCCTTTCCCTTCTGATGGGAGTCAGGGAAGAAGGTTCACATAAGCTTGAGTGAGGTCTTCTGGCCCAAGATTTCATTGTAGATGATGGGTATTTCCCAGAGATATACTTGTTACTTGCATCTTTCAGGATCCAGAGAAGCGACCCACCGCAGATGAATTGCTTGAACATCCCCTTCTCAGCAAACGCAGGAGGTAATCAGATGGTTTTGCTTGGATAAGTGTCAGGAAGAGCAGAAGGGTTTGTACAGACCCATAATGTTTATGCTTTTGTAGCAAAGCTCTTAAGTTAATTTGGCCTGACCTGAAACAATTGTTGAAGTACACTTCATCCTCTTTAGAAGTGCATTCTTGCTGTCTTGTCATCTGATCCATCCCTATGTTCTGTTGGTGCATGACAATCATGAGAAAGGCCTTTCAAAATACATATCATGCAATATTGAGACCCTTGCTTTCTCTCTTTGTTGCCTTCCTCTTCTGGAGAGAGTTGCGTTGAAAGTGGCCGATTTTAGCTTAGTCTGACCATCGGCCTGCTCATACTGTCTTTTTGTGACTGGTGGACCATAATTCTGGACTGGCTGGATCCCACCCTGAATCACAGAATCATAGAATGCCAGGTTGGAAGGGATCTCAAGGATTACCTGGTCCAACCTTTCTATAGCTTATATGACATGGCTCAGCACCCTGTCAAGCTGAGAATTAAAACTGCCCAGCATGGAGGAACCTACCACTTCCCCTAGGAGATCATTCCAATGTTTGACTGTCTTCATGGTGAAAAATTTACCTCGTGTCTAATCGGAATCTCCCCAGGAGCAACTTGTGCCCATTACCTCTTGTCTTTTCCATGTGATTCCTTGTAAATAGGGAGTCCCCGTCTTTTTGGTAGCCACCCTTTAAGTCCTGGAACATGGTAATAAGATCTCCCCAAAGCCACCTTTTCTCAGGCTGAACAAACCCAGTTTTCTCAGCCTCTCCTCATATGGCACTGGTTGCTCTAGGAGGCAGCAGACTTAGTCCTTTATACCAAGACTTTTTTACTTGGTGATCAGCAAAGTTTGAGTTTTGTCTTGCTGTATGCATTGGTAGAAGCCCAAATTCTGAGAAGATATAGCCATTTAAGGTCGTTCCTGTGCAATATGGGTGTTGCTTGGCTACATTCTGGTATATACATTGTTTGATGTCCTCGGCTCTCCTGGAAGTCAGTTAAATATATGGTACATTACTTCTGCTCTATTTACTGTGTATTCCTGTGAGCTGGTAAACAGCTGCCATATTTCCTCCAAGATGGAGCAGCATTTTATTGAAAAAGAAGGCAGCCTGTGTGCTGCTTGTCAGTAAATTGCTTTGGCTGATGTTACTGTTTCCTAAAATGCTTTTTCTCCTGTCGCAGAGAGATGGAAGAGAAAGTCACACTGCTAAATGGGCCAAATAAGCGACCAAGGTAATTATTTGTGTTTGAAAGGAGTTCTGGAGAGAACAGCATTTTGCTGAGTGTTAGTCTGTGATAGCCTTACTTGAATAGTACAGTTTAGAAGATCCTCAAATGCTTGGAATTTGACGTAGGTACTACATGGTTATTGTTACATGCTTTACTCTATCTTTTGCATCCTTCTTATTTGTATGGCTGGAGCCTTACCTCAGCAGTTCCCATACAGTTTAATCTGTCCCTCTGAGTGTGTAGTCTTTACAACCTGCATATCTGAGGATGTAATGTAGATCCCTCTGTTCACACAGATTCCACTGAGCAGGAAGAACACGATTGTCTGAATGTTGAATACTAAATTAATATAAATATCTTTCATAAAATTGGATATATGTAGAGATTCTCCACAGTCCCCTGTAAGCAGAGTTGCTTCATGAAGCACAGAGCATCTGTGACATGTGGCTGTTTTTCTGTTCATTTGTCGGATAGAAATTGACCTTTTTTTTTCCTCATAAACTTGGAAGTGCTGAGAACTTTATGTGGAGTTGTTCCAGTTCATAGGTTACTCACAGTTTGCTTTGATCACAGCTTCCATTTTGCAATCTGCTTGTGAATTGAGTCTTACCTGCACTGAAGAGTTATATTTTTGCCCTCAGACGGAAGCCTATGATTTAAATAAAGAGGAGAAAGGCAAGTAAGAAGCTTTTGGATGCTTCCATATTTTGAGCAAGATTTCATGACTGTTTTTAAGGCTTTCGTTTTTCACAAACGAGAACAGCCCCATGGCCATTCAGTGAAAGCCCAGTCTTTTAAAATTACGTTAAATTGGATTTTAAACTTTTAAAAATGCTTCCTGAGGGCTGCTTTCTCTGCTGCCCTGAGACTGGTTTGATCCTGAGTCTCTCTGTAGCAGTTGAAGCTTTACCACCACTCAACAACAGTTTGTGGAAATAAAAACCATGAATGATTGTGGAGGGGAAACTGATAGCAGTAGGAAAATGAGTGATGACAGTGAACACAAACCCAGTATTAAAAGCATGTGTGTTTTGTGGGGGGCTCTTGTGCAGGTCGAGTACCATGAATGAAGCTCCCATTGCAGTGGTGACTTCTCGCACCAGCGAGGTGTATGTTTGGGGGGGTGGGAAGTCCACCCCCCAGAAGCTGGATGCCATCAAAAGCGGCTGCAGTGCACGCCAGGTGTGTGCTGGTAACACTCACTTTGCTGTGGTGACAGTGGAGAAGGAGCTCTACACCTGGGTGGTAAGTGAGCAGAACTGCAGGGACAGGGGTAAGGGTGGGAGGGGAGAGTCCAGATCCACTGCTGACCATTTGTGAGCCTGGTAGAATCAGATGAGCAAGCAGCTTGGAAAAGGAGAAAACTGGCTGCAGTGGACACTGGGAGGCCATCTGCTTTAGGGCTGACCAAGGTGTCCCAAGGCAGGCAAGTTTTTGGGAGAAGTTTTCCACCATGATAGGAAGTATATTGGAGACTTCCTGTATACTTGGGGATTGTAGGTGATGGACTTGTAGGCACAGACACTGGGTCAAATATCTCTTCCTCCCCTTCCTGACTAAAAAGGCACTGGAGGCTTTGTGGTGCTCTGTTGTTGCCTTCTGTATTTTTGAGGAGGGTTTTCCGAGGTCAGAATGGGTGGGATGAGTGACCTTGTTGTAGTACAGATGTCATCTGTGAGGCAACTCATGGATGAAATCAGAGATTTTTTGAACTAAGCAACAATCTTTTTCTGATGAGTGGAAATTCTCTAATAGTTTAAAATTAATTTTAAAATGTTGGCATATAATGTATGTAAAACAAATGAATCCAGTCTTCTTGGGCTTAGATGGTCAGTGCCATGGAGGCTTTCTGCATCTCAAGGCTTCCACAGGCTTTTGTATTGACAATACAGAATCTGTTAGGATAAATTAGAAAATACTGGTAGGTGGGTGAGAGAACAAAGAGATCCAAATGGGAAGAGAGCAACTTGAAGTCACTTGCTGGATGCTCCTGCAAGAATGGCCACTTGAAGACTTCTGGCTGGCTATTAGTATTGTAGTTTTAGCTTCAATACTACTCAGGGTTGTTTTGTTTTTCCTGTAGCATTGGTGGGTCTGGCCATTTCAGTGACATTTGTTTCAAGTTATGAGTTTCTTTGCAGCCATTTGGATTTAGAAAAGTAGGTAAAAAAGCTGACAGAATAATTCAGTCCTGCAGCAGGGAGCAGGTAACCTGACAGATGAGAAAGGAGCAGGGATTCCTCACCAGCTGGTGGCCTGAGGCTGGATCACTCCTCATTAGTGCATAACTGCCTGAAGGCTTGTGCTGCCATTTAGAATTTTGCCTGCTGTTATGCCACATACCAGAGCTACCCCAGGGTAGCTAACACACTTTCTCTGGCTCTGTGCTCTTTTCTGTTGTTCTTTGAGGTGCTGTAACAATTGGCACCATCTCTGGAGTTATGTCACCTTACCAGATGTTTCTGTCTTGCAGAATATGCAGGGGGGCACCAAGTTGCACGGGCAGCTGGGACATGGAGACAGGGCCTCCTACCGGCAGCCAAAGCATGTTGAGAAGCTTCAGGGAAAAGCCATTCGCCAGGTGTCCTGTGGAGATGATTTCACAGTGTGCATCACAGGTGAGAGTGGGAAGGGGACCACCAGCCCTTCGCTTTGCTGCACTGTAATGTTTGCCTTCACAGTGAGATCAGCAGAGGGGTTTTGATCACAGAAGAAAAGTCCTGTATGTTACTTACACCTGAGTTTCGAGGATAGTAGGTGGTGTGGTAGTGAAGATAGATCAACACCATCACACTGAGGAAGATACTGACTCCCAAGAAAGCTGGGTGTTTTGCTAAGGGTGTGCTGCTCCTTTTTGGTGATGAAGTTGGGTGATGTGCAGTGCTCCTTGTAGCTGTTCAGCATCCCTCCTCTTACCAGTGCATGTGTTGCTTCCCTACATGCCCATATTAAAGACACAGGAGCCTGAAATCAAGAATGTAAATGTGTTTGAAACTCCTTTTGGACTCTATGGGAAGAGAGGCAGCAGATGATAAAAGGTTATGTGCATCTGAGATTTGCTACTTAATTCAGGAAGCTTGAGACCTGGTAGCCGTGTCTAGTTCTAACTCTGCTCATAGTTTTATGTGTTAACTGTGGTGTTGTCTATTATGGAAGAATATGAATCTCATTTTACTCATGAAAACATAATTCTCAACAGTTCTCAATAAGTTTCCAGCTTATTTTGCCAATGCTGGAAAAGCAGAGGTTTGACAGACATAAGATCAAATGTTCAGTGTTCTACAGGAGGGACTTAGGGACAAGATCAATTTGTGAGTTTCTGTTCAAGTGGCAGGTTCAACCCAAGATTTTTTGACACTGGTGGCCTGAAATAGTTGCAGGTCATGGTGCAAGGTCATCCATCTTAACATGAACAATAAAATATTCCATATTCTCCCAAAGACATTCTTTTGCACTGAAGAGGATGCTGATTACAGGAAGGAGGTTGCTCTGGCCATGTCCTAAGAGGTTAATATGCAGCTCTAAAGTATGAGCTCTGTGTTCTGACCAAGCTTCCATTGTGTCCTTCAGATGAGGGCCAGGTGTATGCATTTGGCTCAGACTATTATGGATGCATTGGCGTTGACAAGGCTTATGGCTCTGAAGTGCTTGAGCCCCTGCAGCTGGATTTCTTTCTTACCAACCCTGTGGAGCAGGTCTCGTGTGGGGATAACCACGTGGCAGTGCTGACCAGGAACAGAGAAGTTTACATGTGAGGCTGTGGAGAGTATGGTAGGTAGAGTCTCTCCCTGGAACCTAAAGGTACTGGAGTATGCCTGCTTCAGAAAGCAGCTTGGTGCAGGTGTGTAATGCAAGGCCTGGGGGAGAGCTGTCTGTCATGTCCTTGAGGGCAAAATTGTTTATTTGAGGCTTTCTTTCCTTGTAAGAATGGGGAACTGAGGACTGAGCCCTTTGGACTTCACTCTGGGAAGCTCTAGCATGCCACTTGGCTTCCTTGTGGGTAGGGCAGTTGTTCTGTGAGTAGGGTTGGGTTATCTTGAGGATTGGCAGGCAATGATGCATTTATGAGTGCAGGTTTCTAGTTTTGTAGAGAAATTCCTTTGGGACTATGGAGAGAATACCATTTCATAGGGGTGGGCACCTTCTGAGGCCATTTCTAACTTCAGTGTTTGCACTGATGCAGGGCGCTTGGGCTTGGATTCAGAGGAAGATCACTACACCCCTCAGAAGGTAGGGCTGTGACTACTTCTCAAAATCTGCATGGGCACAAATCTGAATTCATTGCTCTTTGGAAATATTAACTGTCTGAGGCTCAGTGTTTTTTCTGAGGTACCATAGAGTTTTCAAGTGTTTTAACTTTACTTCATCACTCTATTTTGGTCATTTGTCTATAGATTTCATCATGACAGAGGGACATGCAACTCCCAAACCATCCATGACTTTGAGCTTCATTGCTCTGCCCTCCAAGCTGAAACTGGAAATGCCAAACTTAATGTTGTAGAAATCATAGGAAATACCAAATTGCATCTTTCAGGTCTGTAGAGGAGACTCACAGTGGTGCAAACAACTGGGAGTCTTCAAATTTGACATAATGAGTTAAAGATGCATTGAAAGTAAAATCCTCTTGAAGTATAGTGCTAGGAATAATTGAAGTGATTTAACCCTTTGGGGGTTAGAAACCAACAAGGATGTGCCTGGCAGCCAAATACTTGTGATCACATCCACACCAAACAGTCCTAGCCCTGCTCAGCTGACTGAGTCTGTTGCTTGGAGACCCCAGCTGGCCAGGATGCCTGTGCTCCACATTTCTCATTCCTGTGCCAGCTCATTGGTGTCTGCACATAAGTTCTAGAATTCTTTGAATTTCTGCATTGTGACTAGGATTTCAGTATGCTGTCGACTTGATATTATTGCAACTTTGTTCAAAAGAACTGCTTCGCGTATTGCCAGTGCCCAGAATGAATCTGAGCAGCTGAGTCACTGCTCTAACCCCGTATGTTTTCCATCTGCCAGCTTCTATGTACGGGGTGTTGGGAATTTGATTTTCTTGGTATATATTTCTTGCACGTAGGTGGATGTTCCGAAGACCTTAAACATTGTGTCAGTTCACTGTGGCTGTGATGGGACTTTCCTGCTCACCCAGACAGGCAAAGTGTTGGCCTGTGGACTCAATGAGTTCAACAAGCTGGGCCTGAATCAGTGCACATCAGGGATAATCAACCATGATGTAAGTGCATTTGGGTCCTTGTCTTCAGCTCCCAGCAGCCACTATATGGGTAAATGGAGGTCCGGTGACAGTGACAAAATGCTCATTAGCTTTGTGCCAGTTTGTTAATTCCAATCCAAGACAATGGATCGTGGGAAGAGATAATTTGTTCCTCAGTTTCCTGTCTACCCTGTGGGCTTACATCAGATCTGAGGTAGTGAAAGAGATAGCAAGCTGCTCCAGGGTGATTTAGCCAGTGACATGGACCATACCCATGTTGGGACTGTCTAGGTTAATGTTGTGGTCTGCCAACACTTGCTTGAGTAAGTCTTAGCTGATGAATGTGTTGTTTTTCACTCTGTCCTTACCCATGTCTTTTCTCAGACATACTGTGAGGTGCCATATGCCACTTCCCTTACTTTGGCCAAGCAGCTTTCCTTCTACAAGATCCGTACCATTTCTCCAGGGAAGACACACACAGCTTCCATTGATGGTGAGCTCTATGTAATAAGCAGTAAATACTGGTTGCTCAATTACATCAGCTTTTCCCTTTCAGCCTGGCCCTTGACACTGAGGGTTGTGCTCTTGGTAGCAAGGGTCGTGCCTGCTCCAGGAACCCAGGATTCCTGGTCCTCAGCAGTGTTGCCTCCTGGGCAGCTGAAATAGCAACATCAGCTTCTGGATCAGCCTTAATCAAAGCAATCAGACTCACAGTGTGGTTCTGATTATGGAAACAAATGGTTAGCTAGAAAGAAGTTTGTGTTTCACTCTTCCCCCTTTTTTCTAGGAAAAAGAAGGAAAGAAGTCAGTCTTTCCATCAGGCACTGTTCTCGAACATACTGGTTTTCGTATTCATTAACACTGAATGGTTGCTTTCCGTTTAGACCTTTGAAGTTTATATCAATATGATTAAAGTTTCTAGTGGTTTCATCTACCGTTTCTTTCTGCAGCTCAGATGTCTAATATTGCCCATGCAAGCTAGAATCTTATTTGAGGGAGACAATAGTAGTATTTATGCATATATACACACAAATGCAGCAATTCTAATGAATGAGTCCCATGCAAAGTTCCAGATCAAGATTTTTAGTTGTGACTCTTAGGAAAACATTGTGCACATCAATTAGGTTGTTTTCTTTCATAGATGCAGTCATCTTTTTTTTTTTTTTTTTTTTTTTTCTCAGGTGGAGGAGGGGAAAAAATATCTGGGGAAGAACCATGCTCTGGAATAGCAGAGCAATAATTTATGACTGAGTTTGGCTTTGCCCAGTGACACCAGTCAGGGGGCTGTGAGGAGTCCCAGACCCCAGGATCAGAAAAGGGGAGCAATGAGAGAAGGAAGTGGGGAGGTTCTTCCAGGCTGAAGCCATTCCTCTTGGTTGGCACTGTCCCCTTTCAGCCTGGCTGGTTTCTTAGCAGAGTCCTTCCTGGTCATGGGCTGTTGCTGCTAGGTTCCCTGCATGCTTGGCTGCTTCCAGAGTTGGGCCCTTGCTGTGACTGTCTCCTCGTTCCTCCTCGCAGAGCGAGGCCGCCTCCTGACCTTCGGCTCCAACAAGTGCGGACAGCTGGGTGTTGGGGACTATAAGAAGCACCTGGGAATTAACCTGCTGGGAGGCCCCTTGGGGGGTAAGCAGGTGATCAGGGTTTCATGTGGAGATGAGTTCACCATAGCTGCTACTGACGGTGAGTGGGTCTTTGCAAAGTTGTGGTGGGTTCTTTTCAACTAGATTTGCAGGGTGGTTGACTGGCATCTACTGACCATTTACTAGACCACCCCTAGCACTGTACTGAAATAAAGAAATCCTCCTGGACTGGGCCTGTCTGGCTGTGGTGGTTGTCCTAGTGCAGCTCCAAGCATTTGCTGTCCCTGGGGCTACAGAGTGCCAGCTTGGTGGTTGCCTGTTAAGATTTGCTATCAGTTTGTTCTCCCACTGGCAAAATGGAGCTAGTAGCTCAGATACTTTGGGATTGCAGTTACAGCAGAGAAGCTGTGATCCTTGTAGCAATTACAGGCCAAAAGGGAGGGAGGGAGTGAATTGAGGCTCCTGAATCTCTCTTTCCTCAGACAACCATATCTTTGCCTGGGGTAATGGCGGGAATGGGCGTCTGGCGATGACATCAACTGAGAGGGCTCACGGCTCAGATATTTGTACCTCATGGCCTCGGCCAATATTTGGATCATTGCATCATGTTCCAGACCTGTCGTGCCGTGGCTGGCACACCATCATAATTGTTGGTAAGTGTAAGTTCATGATTGAATTTGAGAATCTCGGTTACGATGCTGTATTGCTTGCCAGGACCTAGACTACAAATCTTTCCTGGGAGCAGGAGAGGTTGCTGCAGGGTAATGTGGCAGGTTGCTCTGAGCTCTAGGTCTGCAACGTTGACTGTGTTCTGTGCAGTTGTAGGAGTTGTGTTGCTTTCCAAGTGGCACTCTAACTGGAAGCATATTTCTCTCCTTGCAGAAAAGGTATTGAACTCTAAAACAATCCGATCCAACAGCAGTGGCCTGTCCATTGGTACTGGTGAGTAACCTGCCCTGGGGAGCTGTGGCTTACATATGTTAAGTGGTTAGTTTGGGTGCAGCGTGGTCCTGCAGCACTGTTTCTCTGTTTGAAAGGCTTCACAGAAGAGCTCAAAGGGATGAAATTTAGTCAGTGCTGCGCATGGGAAGGGATGGCCCAAAGCTGGGAAAGAGAGAACTGAAATGGAGGACCAAGAACATGGATGCAGTGAAGCCTTTGTAGTTGAGGAACTTCAGTTTGACAAGGAAAAGCCTAGAGAAATTCACTGAAGGGAAGCTGATAAGGGAGGGAAGGCTGTGGAGCAGCTGCTGGAAAGATGGAGTCCAGTTTCTTGGACCTGTGGGAGGGCTGGGATGAAGAAGTTGCAGAAGCCTGCTGTGCACAAGTCCTTCTGGGGAGGCCTGCGGGTAGTGTTAGGAGATAAGCTGTTGAGGGAGACACCACTAACATATGCTCTTGCTGTGGCCACACAACCCAAGTTTCTGCATCTTCTCTGCCCCAGCTGGGATTTGGCAACAGGAGTAGCAGAGATAGAGGAAGTATAACGTTTGTGCTCTTGTTTGCTAGTGGCTCAGAGCTGCACAACTGGAGGAGGAGAGGAAGAGGATAATGAACAGGAAGCAGAGACCCCCAATCCCAGTGGAGGTTTTCGGGGAACGATGGAAGCAGATCGTGAGTTGGGGGGCTGGATCAGCACCACAGAAGCAAAGGGAGGCGACAGTGCTGACAGCAGCTCCTGTCCGGGCTGGCTGCGGAAGGTAATGGGATCTCTCTGAAATGCCTTAAAATAGGGACCTAGGCTGGAGAAAAGAGAGTGGCCCCTTCCACCTTTAGGGGATGCTCCTGAATGTGTCAGCTGTTCTGCGTGGGGAGCCTGTTAGGTGTCTTTCGCCACGAGAGGGTGCTGGTGCGTTGGTTGAGGTGGTGAAGTCAGCTGCAGGAGGGCAGGCAGGTCTGACAGTGCTGCTTTTGTGCATCCAGGAGCTGGAGAACGCTGAATTCATCCCCATGCCTGACAGCCCCTTTCCTCTGAGTATTGCATCTTCAGAGCCCCAGAAGGAGACTCTCCCTTACCAGAAACTTCAAGGACTCAAAGTGGCTCCTGAGGAACCTGTTGGATTAAACAAGCCCAAAATGGAGCCTTGGGTAATGTTATCCGAGTGAATGCTTGGCCAAAAGCTGTTGAGAACCATAAATGGCAATGTTTGGATTATGGGGAGAGGGAGAGCTGAGAAGAGGGTGCTGGATTGGTGTCATTCATCTGGATGAGAAAAAGAGGGGTGTTGGTGATGCTGCAAAGACAATTCACAGGAATACGGAACACAAAGCTGAGGCTTGGTCAGATTGCAAGTGAGATCAGTTCTGTGGAAAAACGTGGTTAATGCAGTTGGGGGAAAAAAAAAAAAAAGCAGCCTAGGATCCAGAAGCCTAGCAGAAGATAGAAATTTAGAAAGAAAATTGCTGTGAGGTTGGAAGAAGGGTTGATACAGGAAATCACTGAGAAATTACAACTTGTGAGACTACCTTATTCCACAAGTTTTCTGTCCCGTGAGGAGGCACAGATCCCAGGCTTAGGGAAAAGGGGGTAAACCAGATGAATTTTGGTAATAGGAGGACAGGAGCAGCTTTGCCAGAAAATGGAGAAAGTTAGTGGCTTTGTGCTAAAGGCGTGATGACTAGTAGCTTGCTGATGTTGGCTGCTAGAAGTTTGGGAATTCAAGAAATGAGCTGGGGTGATACTTTCTGTGCGTGGTTTCTTTTTGTGGCTTTTACAATTCCTGGCCTTGCACTCAGACATGGCTTGACCTCTCTCTGTCTCCACAGCCTACTTGCCTGAGTCCAACCTTGCCGTGTGGTGAAGGGAAGGCTGGTTCTCCTGTTGCAGGCTGCATGTGCAGTGCTCTGCAAGTGGAGGTGACGCACCTCCGAGGCCTGGTTTTACAGTGTCTGGAAGATCAGAAGAAGCTGCAGCAGGAAACCATTCGTCTGAGTGCTCAGCTCCAGCAGTTCTGCAAGGGGACAGAGGGAATGCAGCAGGTGAGGACCTATCACCTGGGTTCACATCCATTCTCAGGGCTTGCTGTGCTGATCCTGCTTCCTGCATAGATTGTAGAGGCTGCACAGTAAGAAGCAGCTCTCCCAGAGCTGGAGGGGACTGAGCATGGTGCCCTGCTGTGGCAGGCTCTGGTAGTAGCAGGAGGAATGTGGCCAAAAAGGCGGTTTCCTATGAGGACAACCCAGTCCTTGAGGGACCTGGGATTCCCTTTTATTTCTGCTAGTGGGAAGGGATGGACAGTCAGATGTTGTGGAGAGTCCCAAATGGCTGTGGAGAGTAGGAGCTGTGCCTTGTGTGGCTCCTAGCTTCTTTGCAGCTAGTCCTAAAGCTGTTTGGATAATTGCTGTGTGTTTTGGCAGGTGGTGGTTCATTCCAAAGGAACACAGACAGCCAAAGAGGAGATGGAAGTGGATCCGAAACCTGACTTGGATTCAGATTCCTGGTGTCTCCTGGGAACGGACTCGTGCCGCTCCAGCCTCTAGTCTCCTGAGCCCACTGGGATCCATCTAACTTCACAGCACACTAACCGAATGCAGAGAGCGGCTTTCCTGGCTTCAGGTCACTCGCAGACAAGGAGCGAGGCCGGAGGCTCCAGAGCAGCACCCATGTACGTTTGATATGAACTAGGAGTGAGTTTGAGAAGGGAAGGGCCCCTGAGCTCTAGGTGAGCTCAGTGATTGAAGCAGCAGCAGCTCCTCTTTGTACCTTGTCAATTCTGCACGTGAGGCAGAACGGCCCCATTATGGCGATGGCTCCAGTAGCAGCTTGTGGCCCTTTCATTGTTTCACTGCTTCTTGGGAGCTGCCTTTGGGACCCCAGTATTCATCACTGCATTTCTAGGTGAGAGGAGGAGACGTGTTTGTACTGAAGCTGGCTGAACCCTAAGACTTGCCACCTTCACTTGAGAGGGGTGAAGGGCTAGGATCCTCTCCCTCCCACATGGTAAGGCCCAGCCAGTGAGGCTGCTCCTCTCTGCTCAGGGGCAGAGGGAGCAGAGAATGTCTCATTCTGGAGGCAGTGAAGGTCTTCCTATTAGGGAGATTATGGTAGACAGCATGTCCCTGGCCCCAAGGCACAGCTTTTGGCCATATGGCAGTGTCCAGTGGCCTGTGTAGACAGAGTTTAAAGGCTTTATTCTGGGTGCCTAGAGCTTTCCAGCTTCCAGGCAATGCACCGAGATGAGTGAATCAGGTGTTGTTTCCAATTGCAGCAGCGGGGACTGTCTGAGATGGGATCTCTGGTTCTCAGTTTCAGACCACCTGCTTCCCAACCAGATGACAAGCATCTGGGCCTCAGACCAAGTCACCCATTTCTTGTTGCAGTTGCTCAACTTGGTTTGGGTGCCAGAGCTTCTTGTTTCTTGGCATAAGCCTGTAGCTGCTCCCTGCTTGGCTTCTGTTTTGCTCAGCCCCTGGTGCCCACGCTCTGTGGGGGTGTGGGAAGAGTCAGTGTTTTTCCACTCAGTGTTTTGATGAAGCTGGAATGCGGTTTCCTACCCAGAATAGGTCGTAATGCTGTGGTCACAGGATGCAGCTTTCCTCAATGACCATGAACGATCAAGTCTCTGTCTGGAATTCACCTTCTTTCTAGAAGCAAGAGGCTTTCCCAGGAAAATTGGAGATGGGAAGAAGCATGGTCAGATGCTCAAGATTTCCCCATTTCCAGTTAGAGATTGAGGTTAATTTTATTCCCCTTAAATGGACTTTGAACTAAGCCTTTGGGATTGGTAGGATCCCTGGGAGCAGCTAGCCTCTCCTGCCTTATGTGAAGCCTCTTGGGAGTCCTGCGTCCCTTTCACCTTTGCTGGGGTTGTGATTTCATTAGGGTTAAACCATCCCCATCAACAACGTGTTATTAGAATTATTAGGTCTATTGGAGTTGGATATCCTATTGCCTCTCCTAGACTTCATCTTTTGAGAGACTGTTCCAGGGGAGCCAGAATTCCCCATTTGTCTCTGGGAATGGTTACAACCATTCTGCTTGTAACTTAAATACTCCTGTGGTGCTTATTGCTAGTATCTTGGAGCTGAATCAAGTGCAGTCTCTCCAGTGCAGTGTCCAGGGCAAGGATCGTACCAGTGTTGCTGTCCGTCATTACCAGGCTAGGAGAAGAGCCCTCCTGGGAGGTGGTGAGCGTCGGACACCCTGGCGTGGCCACGTTGCTTGGTTGCCCTCGTGACTCTGCTTTTCTTTCCCCCGGTGTGTGTTGGAGCCACTTCTCAGGTTAGGGTCCCAGTTTGAGGGTTGTTGCAGTTGGAAATGATCAAGTTGGTCACGTTGCAGCAGTGCCTTTGAAGAGTGAAGAAGTTGAGCCTGAGCCATGTCCAATGAGCAAATGCCAAGCTGATGGGAGTCGCTCTCCTGCAGTGCACTGCTATCCTCATTTCTCAATGCTCTGCAGTTGGGAAGCTAGGTGCACAGACTGGATTCCCCTTGGATCTAGTGGAGGATTAGGGTCCCTGGCAGAGGATGCCCTGTGCTCCGCAATCTCATATGTGCCTTAGAGGAGTCACGCTATCCAGGTTGTGCCTGTTACAGACCACAGATTTCACACCAGCCAGCTATGTAACCAAAAAAAGCAGTTTAAAGCCAGCACCCTTGTCTTGGGCTGAAAATGGAAGGGCAAGTGGGCAGAAGTACCTCTGAGCAGTTTCAAACCCTTTTTACTTCTCCCCTTCTTGCAGTGCTAGCTCCATGTGTGTTGGTCTCCCGCTAGTATTGCTACTGAGTTGTTATAGTGGAACACAACTTATGCCTGCTCTGACACTGGCTGAAAACTAGTTTGTCATTGTCTTTTTTTGAAAGGTTAAAGGGTGTAGTGGTTTGAAGTTTCTGTTTAAATAAATGTGTAAACTCATTCTTCTGTGTTTGGAGTTGTTGGGGGTTTTTGTTTGTTTCTTCTCTTCCCAAGAGCAGAAGGGGAAATATCCATTTGGCTTCATAGCATTCTGTTGTTTTATTTTTTTAATTTATTTTTTTTTTTTCTTACAGAAAGAGGGGCAAGGGGCTTGCAGGTTCTTTGCTGTGGGAAAAAAAGTCAGGCTCTGTGTCTCTTCATTAAAAAAAACAAAACAAACAAAAACTCTTTTTCTCTTGCTGTTGCATCTCCTCCTAGTGACGTCAGGGGGCTTTTGTGTGTGTGTTTATTTCAACAGTTTGAGTGCCAAGTGGGAAATGAGTAACAGGAAGAGAGGCTCAAAGGGAAGACGTACCTGTTTCGGAACAGCTTCTACTGAGCATTAAGGCCTACAGAAGCAGGACCCTTCCTCACACCTGCTCAGCCAACTGTTGGTGCAGGCTGTTCTTAATGCCTATCACTTCTAACTTTTTATCAGGTTTTTAGTTATTTGTGAAATGTCTTGAGAGACAGAGCTGGGTTAAAGACTCATAAACCACCAGAGATTTGGATAGTGAAAATGCAACATGTCTCTGAGAGGGGGATTTTACTGCAGTAGCAGGAGGGGAAGGTGAGCTGGCATGATGAACATAGCCTGAGCAGTGCCAGGGCAATACTTAACTGTGATAATAAAGAAGGAAGATAGAGCTCTGTGCTGAGCCCCATGCTTTGATTAACCTGCTACTATGTTTTAAACCAGTTACCGGAGACTTTCTGGATACTGCTGTCTGTCTTGACCTGAAACAACAGCTCAGCTATGACTGGTGAACTGCCCATGATTAGCTCTGAAACAAAGATAATAAATGAAGCCTGGTGATTTAATTTCAGTAACTTTAATTTACAGTTTCAGTGTCAGTGTTAGCTGTTAATTTGTCACTTAAGAGAAGTCTCTAACAGATGGATTTATTTTACATCAAAAGTTTGTGTCTGTCTAACCCAGTTGCTGTTTCCTCTCTGCTGACTCTTAGGGTCCACTGAACAGTCAATAAAACATAGTGCAAGGAAAACGGAGTTAATATTATGAAAGGGAACTACAGTGAAGATGACTGGGGGACTGGAGTATCTCCCTTATGAGGAAAGGCTGAGAGAGCTGGGACTCTAGCCTGGAGAAGGCTGAGGGGAGACCTTAGAAATGCCTACAAGTATCTAAAGGGTGGGTGCAAGCAGGATGGAGCTCAGTAGTTCCCAGTGACAGGACAAGGGGCAAGGGCAGAAACTGGAACATGGAAAGTTCCATTTAACTATGAAGAAAAACTTCTTTACAGTGAGGGTGACAGAGCACTGGAACAGGCTGCTCAGGGAGGGTTGTGGAGTCCTCTCTTCTGGAGATACTCAAAACCCATCTGGATCAAGTCCTGAATAATGTGCTCTAGGTGATCCTGCTTTAGCAGGGGAGTTGGACTAGATGATCTCTAGAGGTCCCTTCCAACTCTGACATTCCATGATTCTGTGACAGGCAGTGGTACTGAATTTCTGAACTACTCTTTGTTTAAGTCAGTTTCACCTTTCTTTAATTCAAAGAGGCTGGCATAAAGCTTTGAGTTTACCCCTTTCCTACCTCTGGTTACTTCTTGTTATCCTGTATTTTGAAGCTCTGAAATTAGAGCATTGGTCTTGCTTCTCCAATCAGTTTTGATATGGCTAATTTATTTTCCCTTATTTTGAGCCTGTTTTTCTGTCTTTTCTCTGTACACACTCATACTTGGCTGGAAAAGTGCAGCACTGACCTCTTCTGGGACTTTCCTGCTTTTCTGGACTGTGCCAAGGGATTGAGATTTCTGCCCAGCCATCTATAAGGCAGAAGCTCTCCAATTTCTTTCAGGAAGCATCTGGTCCACCTGTTGAAGGCTGGAGTGTTTCTTCATATTTGGCTTCTGACACATCCAGTTTAGTCAATTTTTATCTTTTTCTAGGGTCCTGTGAGCTGCTGCTATGTTACTGAAGGACTTGGAAAAGGAGCTGCTGGAATTTTTTGTTCCTTGTTTGCTTCCTGTTGCAGCTTTTTCATACAAAGTAGTTATTCTTACTTTGAGAACACAAATCACTCTGACCATTTAAAACAATTCTTACACAACAGAACTAGTCTAATATATTAAAAATCAGAATCTGGAAAAACAACTGACTTAGAAATGTGCAGGAACTGTCACCAGTTAGAAGCAGCTGATTCTCTAAAAGGGTCTGTACAACACCTATTTCCCCCAAAAGACCCTTTAACAGTACTTGAAAAAAAAAGGCCTTTGGCATGTGGCCAAAATCACCAAGAACAACCCTGTATCTTTAGAAGAAAGCAAAAAGAAGGGGTATTTTTTTTTCATAATTCCCTACCACTGCAGCAGCTGAGATGAAAATAAGCAGATGACTCAAGGAAGGGTGCAAGCCCTATGTTTTAGAGGTTCCTAGCAACTCGGCCTGGAGGAAAACTGGGTTTTTTAGTATTAAATCTAATTGTTGATTTAACCCTGAACATACAAGTGAAACAGCTAACAGGTTTTCCAATGTGAAGTTCCTTAGTGTGCTGTCTGGGGCAGGGGGTGTTTGGCTCTTTTTAGCTGTTGCAGTTCTTCAACATTCTGGATAGAAATTAAAAAACAAAGATAACAAGAAGCCAAGTCAGGAATAGAGGGAAGGTTTCTGTGAGAAGGAAATGACTTCTCAGCTCCAGGAAGTGATATGCTGAGGCACAGAACTGTCACTGATTTGTTCTTTGCACTTTATACAAGAAGCCTGGTCATAGGAACGAACACTCCGTGTCACAGTTCTTTATTTCTAAATTGACTCCTGCCTTATGCTCCCTTCCATGATCTTCTCCAAGTGCATTTTGAAACAATGTAGGTTCCTTCCCTGTGCTAATCTCTTTGGAAGGTTTTTCAGTGACCTCACTCTTCTCCTGTTAGAAACCTAATTTCCAGTCTGAGCTCATTCATGACCTATTTTTGATTGTGCATGACATTATTCTTTAGTTAAATATTTTTTCTTCCTCTCTTTCCCGACTGAGTCCCAGCTATTGTATGTGGTAAGTAACATGTTGGGATGGCTGTTCTGTTGTCCCAGGGGCCCGGCCAGTTCAGAGTACCTCTGCTGTTCTGTGTACATAAATAGATACATGGACTCAGACAGTAAGTGCCTGCTACTGCTAGCTTTTTTAGCCCCCTGAATTTCTGATCCTGAGCATCTTGTGTTGGGGAAGCACTCAGTAATACTCCTCCCACATCTCCGAATTCAAACAATGTAACATTGGATTTCTAAATGATAATGTTACAGGGCTTCATCTGGTAAGACATAGCCCCAGGATTGTCACCAGCATTCCAGAAAAGAATTTAAATAAACTATTGGGCTGCTGCAGAACAAGTGTGGAATAAACCTACCTACACAGCTTTTACTGTTCAACTAAACTGTGCTACAGTAAACAGGACAGAGCATCAGCAAGGACCAAGAAGCAGCTCTGGATCATCTAGTGCAGATACCAAGGACAGAAGAACACAGCAGTCTGTGTGCTGCAAAAAAGTTAACAGCTTACATAGTTTCTTCCGCACCCTCTGACTTTTCCAAATGCATTGACTAAATAGTTTTGAAGACTGTGGATCCCTTTCTATGGAGAAAAAAAAAAAAAAAAGAAAAAAAAAGAAAAAAAAAGGAGGAACCCCTCACACCCCAATCTTTTTTGGGTAGCTACAGTCAGAATGCTTTGCCAGCTGGAACCGCTGTCGGTGCGTTCAGGGGTGAGCGGCAGCACCTACAGAGCAGTAAAGCAAACAAGAGGCAGACACTGTTTGGCCCAGTTCTCAAGAACAGCACTACTCTGCTTTTGGAGAAGGAAAAAAACCAGTCTGCAGCCACTGATGAGCTAAAGGAGAGCAGCTCTCTTCACATCAAACACCACTAGTTTAAAAAGTCCAAACCTCCCTCACCTACAGGCAAAATACAATTCTAAAGAATCTGGCAGAAAACAGGGAATCCCAACACCAGAAACAGCTGGATGTGATCTCAGCACCAGCTCCTCTGTGGTGGGGTTGGGGGCCTATCCTTGATGCCTTTGCATTTGGAGATATGTCTCTCGGCTATATTGGGAGCAAATTGACAGCTGCTGTAGGGACAGGCAATGTAGCTTAGGTTTTCAATGGAAGGCAACAGAGGCAGGTCAGACACCTTCCCTCCTTTGGAGAGGAATTGCTATGCCTAGTGAACCTAACACTGGGTCTGGATTGAAACCTTGTTCTTCTGTTTCCAGCTGTTCCTTTTGAGGGATTTATTCTGCAGAAGAGAAAGGCAGTCGGAGCAACTGGCACCATTGTCAGCCCGAATTCTCAATCTTATGTTCAGGGTCCAAGGCAGGTCTCCTGTCCCTGAGCATTCCCTGTTGATGGAAAATGCTCCTTGAGAAGCTGAGTCCCAAAAAGGGCATCAAAAAGACCAGCACTGAGGAGAATTGGAAGGGAATACTGATGGAGACATAGGTACTTGAGAAACATCTTGAGAATAATGATAAAAGCAAGAAGTAGGGCTGAGGAACTGGAGAGGGCTGCTGTAGCTGCTTTGCAGGTGTATGTTTCTGCTGACTTTGTTTTAATAGCCTGTGCTATTACCTGGATTTTCAGCCCCTGATGTCACAGAGCTTTAGGGCAGCAAATCCAGTCTGCACCCTGAGCATCCTCACTACCTCCAGAAAGTGAGCTTTCTCCAGGAGCGCACCCTCAATGTTCTACAGACATAGCAGTTACAGCCCCTGCCCCCATCTATCAGATTTAAATGGATCTATTTGTCCATTTGGCAAGAACCTTTCAGAGGCAATAGGCTCAATGTATTCCTTAGCCCCATGTGCACATAAAGGCACTCACATCTCAGTCCAAATTAAATATCGAGGTGGAAGGAACATGAATAGTAGGTATGGATTCAGAGAGGCAAAGGGACTGCATGTTACATGAGGCCTCTCTGAGCTCTTCGTCTGCTGATACTGTTCCTGTGCCCCTAGCTCTGGCCTTTTTTTAGTCACTTTCTTCTTGGACCCTTGGCTCTTGCCACAGATACTCTTGTGCTTCTTGAGCCTGGTGCAGAAAAACTGTCCACAGAAGCTGCACTGTTCGAGCTCCTCTGGCTCCACAGCATTAGCAGCCTGCATGTACTGCACCTCTGCGGGTGGGTGGTGACCAGAATCTTGGTCTGAGAGGGCAGAGGGAGAAGGGACATGTTTTAGGGCTCTGAAGAAGAGCCTTAATGCTCCACAGGCATGTGGTCTTGAATTTTGCTGTTGCTGGCCACCAGCTGCTCCTTGACTTTCCCCCTAGCCAGTTCTTGGGGTGGAGGGCAGTGCCAGGGCTGTGGATAGTGGCCTCTGCAGACTGCTCCCCACCAAAGACCCCTGCACCATCACCTGTTCTGACAGCATGTCTGAGAGTTTTCTCTTCAGGGTGCCTTGCAGCCTTTTGCTCATGTGTCCTCTCTGCTTCGACAAGCTCCTTCTCTCTTTCAGTCCTTCTCCTAAGCTCATCCTCTGTTCTCCTCAGCTTCTCTCTGATGAGGGCCTCCTCCTTTTGAATTTCCTTTTCCAGGTTCTGTCCACCTGCCTCCAGCTTTTGGATGTAGGGCAGCTCTCTCCTGTATAGATGATAAGCTTAGTGTTTAGGCTCTGCTGTCCAAGGACAGAGCACTGCAGCTGGCTGAGACCTCCCTGATGGAGATTTCCCGTTGGTCATTGAGGTAGGACTCCTATTTGGAGCTTCCTCCAGTTATGGGGAACTTCTGAGCTGTGCTGTGTTGACCACTGGAACACTCACACCCTTGTGGTGAAGAATCAGTTTCAGGGGATATGCACAGTCCACTCCTTCTTTCTCTCTGGCTACTGATTTGGCTGGCAGAGTCTTGGCCTGGCAGGTGAGATACTTGCTCTGCAGTCCAGGTGGACAGAAGCCTCCATGCCTGGATCTGTGTTCACTGCTTTCTGCATAAACAGAATACAAATAGCTCTGGCTCTTCTGGGCATCCTGAGATCCTTTAAACTTTCCTCTTTGTCAGGTATGAGTTCATGCTGAAAGTTGTTCTGCTGGTGTTTCAGCTGGGAGCTGGGAGCAAGCTTAGTAGCTGCCGCCACAGAATCCACTGGGGAAACAAAGCCATTCAGTGCCTGAGAAGGAGCCTCGGGTTAGGAGCAGAGTCATTGCACACCATCTTATCCGAAACCAGACACATCTCCTAACAGTCTACAGCTGGGGGCTACAATGGGAGGCTATAATAAATATTAGCAAAGGTTTTGCAACTTTTCTGAGGGCTCCAACCTTCGAAGGAGCTCCCAAGCTGCCTCTTCCAGACCAAATCGTTTATACAGCCAGAAGTAAGATGTGCTTTTCTTTTGCTCTCTCTCTTACCACGGTAGCAGCAGAAACGCTGAGCTGCCAGAGAAGCAGCGGTGCTGTTTGACACTGCAGCTCCACCCGCCTGGCACACCGCTCTGGCACGCAGGCGTCCCGCAAAGCTCGGTACCGCCTTACCGTGCCTCGCTCCCCCGCATCCCCCGCACGGTGTCGGGGAGCCAGGCAGCCGGCAGCCCCGCGGGGCAAGCGGGGTTACCTGCG